TTTATGCATTTTTCCTGTCATCAACCTTGTACACTCTCCATCAAAATCAGTAAAGAAAGAAGTTATCAATTTGCTTTCTGTTTTAAGAAAGCTTTCAATTGATTCATTTGTTCTATCAAGTACAGTTGTGTCAAATGAATGGAAGCTTCCCTCCATCAGTACAGCTGAACACTTTGCTCTCAGGCTACTACAGAATTTGTGGCTTCAGGTTTAATTTTGTTGTTATGAGTTAAAATGTACCCTGTATGTGGCTTCTGGTTCTATTTTATGTTTTTTTTGGGTGTGTAAGGAATCAATTATCTAAGAAAGAAAATTTTAGCACAGGAACATGAGCTGTAGATGCATAGGCAAAAAAGAGGAGCCACATAAAATAAATATACATATGCAACTAAAAGAGGCAGAGGAAAGGATTCTGAAACTCTTGATATGCATTATATATCCATTCCCACCGTCTAAATTCATTTGTTTGTAAATTCTCTTAATTTCAGGATGTATCTAGGGATGAGAAACACTCCTTGACCAGTTGAAGATAGGCTAAATCAAAACCATAATGAAACTATTACTTTATGTAGTGTTTATGTAGTAAATTACTAGTGGGATATTTCTTTTTTGGAGATTCTCTATGCAGCTGTAACACAGTTCATTGATATACTTAATGTGTATTGTTGTGCCTTCTGCCACTCATTATAAACTCCACATTATTCATGAATCACCAATTTTTTTGGCATTAATACTTTTCTAAAATGATTTCTGCAAAAACTCAGGACAAAGCTTCATTACCTAGCCATTTCTATCTAAATGTTGCTCGTTTTGATGAATCATCCACAAACAAGAAGAATATAGCAAAGTCATGGGCATCTATGTTGAATGAGTACATGATGCTGATCATTTCAAGAAGAAAGTCTCCTTTATCAATATCTGGATCCCATGAAAAACTTCTTACTGGTAATCTGTTAACTTGGCTGAAATTCAGTCGTATATGCTTTCATGTTTGCTGATTAAACGTAATTAATGGTTAGCTGCAACTACTGCTTTCATGCAGAAATGCCTTCATTACTAAGTGGGATCACATGTGTACTCCTCTTGCATC